TGTTAGTATTTTAAGAGGTAGTCACTAGGTCAGAATTACTCCTGATTTTTGTGGAAGGGGAGGTTTTTGGTGATCTTTCCGGACTAGAGGGCTTCAGTATTTTACAGCCTGGTTCTCGTATTTACATGGAGTACCCTGCACGTGGTATTTCCAAGGTTGTGCAGTGTAATAATACTGTTTTACTGTATATAATTTTGCTTAAAACTTGATGATCTTTGTTGCCGCTGATATGTCTTATTGTGTAGTTGATGGTAAATGCCATTGTTAAGGATGGGGTACAGACTTAAACTGAGACAGGCTTGCCTCACTTCATTGTAAACCTGCCCCTGGTTTTAAGTGTTTTCTTTCAGGCTTACTCTATATTGTCACATAGTGAGTGAAGCATGCTGGAGCACACAAGGTGGGAGAGGGTAACTCGAAGCTGGTCATGCTGCATCCAGCCGGATTCCTATTTAACGTCTGTGTGGCGTTTGCCGAAGGGGATTCCTGGCAGTCCCAGAGGGCATTTCTGCCCCAAGGTGCTCAGCGTCTCCCCTCTGTGTCTGCAGATTCGAGGGACGGACAAAAGTGGCGTGAGGGAGCTGCACATCGCCTATCGGTATGGAGAGCACTATGACAGCGTCCGCAGGAGCAATGACAACTCCGAAGCCCCCGCGCACCTCCAGACTGACGTGCGTAAGCGCCTGCCCTGCTTCCTGTGTCCAGCCCCAGGGAACGCAGGTCTAGAGCTGCATGCCCTGACCTAAAAGCTCATTTTTTTTTTTTTTAAACATGGAAAATTGGCTTTAAGAATCTAAAGAGTTGAGTTTTAAATTTTTTTTATTTTTTATTTTTTTTGCGATATCAGGGATTGAACTCAGGACCCTGTGCTTGGCAGGCAAGCGCTTATTCTACTGAGCTATCTCTCCGGCCCCTGAGTTTTTAAGTATTTCTCACTTTTCTTTTGTACATGGGAATTGAACTCAAGGCTTTGAGCTTGCCAGGCAGGAACTTAGCTACTGAGCTATATCCCTAGCCCATGTTTCTTGCTTTCTTTTCTCAGATGAGAGGCACAGATAAAATTGCTGGCTACCCTTTTATTTTCATTAACAGCTGATACCAGTGATGTTTGTTTGTTTGTTTTTTAATGAATTTAGCACAGGATCTACAGGGTGTACTGGATTTCACTATGTAGATCAGACTTGTAGTGATTCTCCTGTTTTCAGTCTTCCAAGCACTGGGATTACAGTCTCAGTGGCTGTCTCAGCATGCCCCAGGGGTGGGGCAGGCATAATCCCATTCCCGCCCAAGCAGTCACTTTAGTCCACTGAGCTATCTGGCCAGCCCCTGATACCCATGATTTTATGCATATGAAATCTATCAAATTTTAAATTATCTTTGTATATTGAAATTTATTCTTGAAACCATAGAAAATGTAGACAAATTATAAAAGCACATAAAATGCAAACTTTCTAGAGGCTTCAGTAGGTTTCCTTTCAGTCATTTAGTGCATTTTAGATGATTGTGATTATAGCACTCTGTAGCGTTGTTGCTGCTTCTCTTCCAGCTAGCCCACATTACTGTATAAGCCTTTCTTTATGTAGATACCTATTTTCTGATGCCATCATTGTTTAAACAGTTCTGCTTCTTAAGTAGGTCATATGGTGTGAGTGACCATGGCTCAGAATTAAAGAGTGTGTAGCCGCAGATGGTGTTACCCCTTCTCCTTGTGCTTTGGCTGTGGCGTTCCCTCCCTTGGTGCGGCCAGCGCTGTCAGTATATTGTGGAGATATGTGTAAACGTGTGTGATTCCTGTGGTGCTACCTTTTACACTTCCCTGTCCCCCGTTGTGGCACCCTGTGCTTACTGCACGTCCTAACACTGGCACTCTATGCTGCTTTTTTTTTTTTTAAACTGGGAATTGAACTCAAGACCTTGCACTTGTCAGGCAGGTGCTTGTTCCACTGAGCTGTATACCCCTGGCCCTTCTATACTGCTTTTTAGCGCAGAGTTTAATTTGTGACAGTATAGAAGCTTTGTGTCTTTTTTTTATTAAACTGATAAGAACAGATACTACACTTGATCTTAGCCAAAAGGCCGAGAAGCGATTGTGTGTCTTTTTTTAAAGGCTGCATGGTATTCTGCATTGTGCCTTGTTGGCCCGCCCCTTGCTGATGGGCTTTTTGATATTTTTGAACTCTTGCTGTTAAAACCAGCCCACAGTTCCTTTTCTGAACCTTATTTCATACATATGTGAGTGTATTTCAGGATAAGTTCATAAAAGGTCTTGATTCAAAAGATTTTGATAGATGTTGCCAAATTACTTTCTACTGATATTTTACCAATTTTTATTTCTGTGAGTATATGCCTCTTGCCCTGTGCCTTTGCCAACATGGTGCTACCAACTTTTTTTTTTTTGGCGAAACTGGGGATTGAACTCAGGCCTTTGCGTTTGCCAGGCAAGCACTTATTCTACTAAGCCATCTCCCCAGCCCCAAGTGTTACCAAATTTTTAAAGATAATTTACATTTATTTTTATAAGTCAATTTGTGCATTTTTTCCTGTTTAGATGTACTTGTTTTTCCTTTCCTATGGATTATATTTATTTTGTTTGCCTTCTTTTCCATATTAAAATTGTCTTAATGATTTTGAAGAGCTTTTTCTACATTAGGGAATTATTTATTATGTATTTATTTATTTTTTATGTATTTAGTACACGGTTTACAAGGTCTCACTAGAGACTGCACTTGTAGTGATCCTCCCATTTTCAGCCTCCCAAGTGCTGGGATTATAGGTGTGTGCTCCACACCCAATCTCAATCGCCTTCTCAGTGATTTTTTTTTTTTTTTTTTTGGTGGTACTGGGAATTGAACTCAGGACCCTGTACTTGCCAGGCAAGTGCTTATTCTACTGAGCTATCTCCCCGGCTCCAAGAATTCTGTTGTTTAAAAATTGAGATAAAAGTCATGTAACATAAAATGGAATGTTTTAAAAGCGTAGCATTCATCGGCATTTTGTGCTCTGCGTTACACTATCGGGTGCTCAGTTTAGCCCCAGAGCATATTTGTTATTGCAGAAGAAAACCCTGCACCGAGCAGCTGGGCAGCCACTCCGCCCCTCCTTGTTGCTGTCGTTTATTTGCTCTGGGCATTTCCATGGGTGGAGTCTGATGTGTGACCTTCCTGTCTGCTTTCTTCATTGAGCACTGTCTTTGCAGTTTATCCACGTGGCAGCATATATCAGTACTTTTTAAAAAGCAGCTGAATAATATTCCACTGTACGGCTGTATCTCCAGTGGTTTATATAGTTGTCCTTTGGGCATTTGGGTAGCTCTCACCTTCTGGCCACTGAGAATAGTATCGCTGTGAATGTTTGTGTTCTGCTTGTTCAAAACTTGTTTTAAATCTTGGGACGTATACGTGGGACTGGAATCCTCGGTTATATGATAAATTCTCAATTCAAGCTTTTGAGGACCTGCCGAACTCTTTTTCAAAGTGTCTATGCTATTTTTCATCACTATCAGCAATATATGAAGGTTCTACTTCCTCTAAACTTTCTGCAACACTTTTTTAATGGCCTTCCTAATATCTGGTGGTTCCAATTTAGTTTTTCTTAATGCCTAATGATATTGAACATTTTTTCATGCTTTTTGCCATTTGTATATTTTTGGAGAAATAACTGTTAAAGACCCTTGCCTACTTTTTAATTGGATTGTCTGTTTTGGAGTTGTAGGAGTTCTTATCGTATTTTGGATACTGGATTCTTATCATGTGAAGGATTTGACAGATTTACTTTTCTTTGTAGTAGTTTTATGTTGTGCAGTCAATTTTTTTTTTTTCAGGTATAGAATTATCTCATCTGCAAGTGATTTCTTTTTCCTTAAGTTTTTTACTTACAGTTTCTTTGTCTTGCTTAATTGCATTGGCTGTTTTAAATAACAATGATAACAGTGAAAATCTTGCTGAGGTGGAGATAAAGACATCTTCTCTGATTATTTACCTAAAAGCATACTTTAGTTTATTTCCAGTTATTCCCCAGAGTAAATAATGTAGTTAAGAACACTTTCTCATAAGTCCTTTCTGTATTTGACGTTATTTCCTTGGCTAAACGCCAAGAGAAATTGCTTGATGTAAGTTATGAAACTGCTTGATCTACAACTCTTGAATACCAGGTTGTTAATCTAGAAAAAAAAAGTGTAATCTAGAAAATTGTCCATTGACGGACTCCATTTACTTGGGTGTGCAAAAAATTGAGACATTGTTGCCTATTTACAGTTATCTTTTTCTGTAAATAGAGAGCAGAAAGTGGTTCAGTGAGCACAGGGAGTTGACTTTAGCTTTTCTTTTCTTTTTTTTTTTTTTTTTGGTAGGACCGGGGATTGAACTCAGGACACTGCGCTTGCCAGGCAAGCGCTTATTCTACTAAACTGTCTCCCTGGCCCCAAGTTTAGCTTTTCTAATTGTTCCAGTTGTAGAGGCCTCTTGTGCTCCAGGCAGGCTGCTGTATTACAAGCTTTATCTTAGGGTTTGGCTTGGCACAGTCCTGTGAGTGTGGTGGTGTAGGCCTGGGATGAGACAAGGCTGAACTTGTGCCCCAGAGTTTGCAGATGGCCAGGCAGGGCCTGAGAACCAGATGAGAGTTGCATATGCATCTTCCTTCTGGACCAGCCTTGTTCTTCTGCAACAGCTTGTCAGGTACAAGCGCAGAGAGCCTGCTTCGACTGTTGTTCAGCTCACAGCTCTGCAGGTGTGGAGACAAACATGTGCTGTGGAGTTAGCAGTCCCTGCCGAAGTGTTGCCGTCTAGAAACAGGCCACAGGAGCCGTGCCCGCCAAGTGCTCCATCTTGTCTCCAAGGGTGCTCTTTTTATTCTCTGTGATGACTTGGTGCCTCACTGTGTGGATGAAATTGAGCCTACTCACTACTGTTCCCTTCAGATTGTCTCTAGAATCTTCACCATGTGCACATCTTGAGATTATAGTGTCTTTCTTGAAATTTCTGAATGGAGTTTCCTAGTTACGTCTTTTGCTTCCTTTAGTTTCAGATACTGCATCAAAATGAATCAAGTAAAAGAGAAAAAATCAAGACAAAGGGAATTGACTCGGAAGATGACCTGAGAGATGAAGTAGAAGACGCTGTCCAGAAAGTCTGTAATGCAACTGGATGTTCAGTCAGTATCCCTGCCCTTCCGGGATGTCCTATGAGCAAGTGCGGCTGTTCTAGTTTACCTGCTAGTTTGCAGCCTCTCTGTAGCGTGCCAGCTTGTGATGGGCCAAACAGGGATACAGATTGGTAGTTTTAGGTTTCATGATCTGATTTAATGAGAGCTGTTTATTTACTTTTGTCCTTTTTTTTTTTTTGGAAAGGGTCTACAGGGTGTTCAGGGTCTCACTACTAGATCAGACTGGTAGTGATCCTTCTGTGTTCAGCCTCCAAAGAACTGGGATTATAGGTACACGCACCCACGCCTGCATCCCAGTCTCAATTGCCATCTCAGTGCGCCCTGGGGGGCAGGGCCAGAACGGCAGGCCATGTGCCTGCTTGCGGGTGCTTGCTTGCAGGTGCTTTAATCTGTTGAGCTATTCGGCTGGCCCTTATGTCTTATTTGCTAGACTTTGCCCAATAATGCTCAGCATTCTAAGGAGTGGATTTAATTTTTTCTAATATTCAAATAGTAAAGTACAGTTTTATAAAGAAGGTTTCTTTGCAGATGTATTAAAAATATATTTTTTTAAAGTAACCAACTTTATTTAAAATTGCCATTTTCTGAAATGGAGAGAGGATCTTGAAACCTGGTGCCAGTGATGGTGGCTACATGTTTGTGTTTATCAAAATAATGGAGTAGAGCTAGGTGGAAAAGTATACCCAGAGTCTTGAAGTATTTCTTTGTTTCTTGGGTAGGATTTTAACTTAATAGTCCAGAACCTGGAAGCTGAAAATTATAATATTGAATCTGCAATAATTGCAGTGCTTCGGGTGAACCAGGGCAAAAGAAATGGTAAGGCCATTATTATTATTGGTAAGTCTTTAAAATAATTGTATTGGTGATTTTACAAATATTGCTATTTCTTAATTTTAGTTTTATTGTTTATTTTATTTTTTTGTGACTCGCTCAGCCCACCCTGGGGGCGGGGCTGGCTGGCATGTGGTGCTGGGGGATTGCACTGTGGTCCCTGTGTTTCACCTGAGCTTGCCTAAGCAGGTACATTAGACCACGGAGCTATCTCACCAGCCCTGTTTATTTATTTATTTATTTATTTATTTATTTTTTACAGCACTGGAATTGAACCCAGGAACTTCGTGCTGAACTACATCCCCACCTCTTGTTTTTATTTTTTGAGGCAGGGTCTTGCTGAGTCGCTCAGTTGCCCCGCCGCAGGCACCCTCAGCCCCACACGCGTGCTTTTGATCACCTCATAGGCAGTGTTGCCCCGCCGTCTGTCCATTCGCTCAGTGTTGCTTATTGAGCGCTTCCTGTGTGACAGGAAGACTTCTTGCTAGGTCGCGGCCCAGCGTTAGGAGTTTGCAGGTGGGAAGGGGATTGTAGAGATAGACAGGTGGGTAATATGATGGGATCCAGTGGGGCACTGCGCTGGGAGAACGTGCGAGCACACCTCGCCCTCTCCCGGAGCGCTGGAGGGTCTCTGGGAAGAGTGTCTTGCTAGAAAAAAGCTCTTAGAATGCTCAAATGATAGCTTAAGAGAGAAACGCCTCGGGGCTGGAGAGATGGCTCAGTGGTCTAAAGCACCTACTTGAAACAAGCTTGGCAAAGCACAGGGACCGCGGTTCGATCCCCAGCACCACATGCCAGCCAGACCCGCCCCCTGGTGGGCTGAGCTGGCCATACACACACACAATAAATAAATGTAATAAATAAAAATAATAAATAAATATATAAAAAAAAAAGAAGACCTTTAAAAAAAAATTAAAAAAAAAAAAAAAAGAGAGAGAGAAACGCCTTATCTTTATGATGGAAATGTTTCGCATCTTAGCACCTATCAACTGATGAAAAGTCAGATTTTTTTTTTACTTGAACTGAGTTTAATTTTGTGACTCAGAGGATGGAAGATGTCGCATTTTCATGATTTCTTGAATCGTTACTAATAATGATGTCAGTAAATACACATTGCCAGACATTGTGTGTCATTTGCTTACTATTTCTAACATAAGAGTTTTCCAAGTGATTAATGCTTAATATTTTATGTGTACTTTATAATTGCCGTGCCTTCTTCAAAAGCTATCAGGAACTGAGTAAACTGAGTCTTTCTGACATTGATCAGCATTTTTGGTATCTGCTGGTGTATTCCTGACAGGTGGAGAGTGAGCATGAGAGCTGTATTTTAAGTATTACTTAACCTTAACTCAAATATTATTTATTTATTTAAATTATTATTATTATTATTATTATTTTTTTTTTGTGGTTACTGGGGTTTGAATTCAGGACCTTGTGCTTGCCGGATAGGATCTTATGCTATTTAGCTATCTCTGTGGCCCAACTCTTAACTCAAATTTTAGTAGCCACAGGTTATTTAAAAATACATCTAAAGTTTGCCAATCATTTTGTCCACATGTTTCTCACTGTCTTGACTTGATACTAGAATTGTTTATCTTAAGGAATTGCTCGTAACAGGGTCGTTTCTTCCTAATGGCATTTGGGGACTCAGGGGAAGTTGGAGTCATATCTCACAGTAGACACATGTGACTTTGTTAGGGTCTCAGTTTTAATAAAATACCTGTCTTTGGAAGATACAGAGGAGAGTCCTGAGCCCAGCGGCCAGGGGTTCAAGCAGTGTGACCCTTTGTGGGAGGAGAGCGGCACTGGCACCAGAATCTTTGGAAATCAGGTCTTCAGCGAAGGCAGGACAGTCAACAACAAGGCCCGGGCTGGCCCTGGTGAAGAAAACAAAGCGCAGAGCCAGCTCCCGAAGGTATGAAGGAGGGGCTTGGAAGGCAGACGGTGGGCTGCTGGAATTCTGTGGTAGTGGTGGGAACTTAAATTTCATTGTAGTTTGCATTTTTCTTTTGATATCTCAATGTAGTTACTGTGGAAAATCTAGGGACTACATAGAGGTTAGCAAGAAGCAGAATGAAGACCTGACCTTGTTTGGTGTACGTGGCGATTACCAGAAGGATGGATGTGCTCAGACTGTCCCCCACGCACACGTACACGAGCCCCCTGCCGCCCAGCGTTGCCAGCGGGCTCTTCTTACCTTGGGTTACACTGTTCATAAGTGTCACACCTGCAGTCAACAGCGCTGGATGTGTGGCTTTGTGTTCTGGATTAGCTTCTCGCATAGACTCCTAGGAGTGTGGTAGGCGGGTAGAAGAGTGCGGAGAGCTGGGTCTCCTTAAGGCTTTTGGCAGATCGCCAGATGCTTCCCAGAAGGTTGTAGGTCTCCCCTCCTGCTTCCCACTCCCACAAGATGTGACATCACCTTACTGAATTTGGAGTTTGTTTGAAAGACTTTTATCAAGAAGTTACAAATTTAAAATGCCATCTACAGTGAAAAGCCATAGGCAGAGGCAAAAATGTCGTAAGCTTTGAGCATTTAAGAAAAAAAATATTTTATTGAGAAACAAATAGCGAGACAGTTTCAAAACTGATTAGTAGGACAGCTTCAATAATTAATACATTGCATATAGCTTTGAGCATTTTATTACAGCTCTATGAGCTTCTAAAGTATGGAAAAGGTCCCCTGGCTCCTCTGAGTGCTGTGTCTTGCTTGATTGGGATAATGTCCTGTTAGGTCCTTTTGAACTGGTATGGGGAATAATGGAATTGATTTTGTTTGCTAGTTCAGCAAGGAATGTACATTTCAGTGTAAACTTGAGCAGTAATGGAAAATAAATCCTTGAGAGTCCCGTAAGCTAGCTCCCCGTTCATTTGGAGAGGCAGTCGAAGCCCTGCGAATCGCTCAGCCCAGCGCCCCTTGCAGCAGGCAGCAGCCTGAGTGAGCTGTGCTGGCCGACTTCTGCGCTGGTCTCCTCTTTCAGGTCACAAACAAGCACAGGAGGGAGCAGCAGCGGTTGGAGAAGAAGAAACGACAGGAGGAAAGGCATCGTCTCAAGGCCCTGGAGAGCAGGAGTGGCCACAGGGACAAAACCAGGAGTGAAGCAGATGTGAATTCGCAGGTCACCTTGGTGAGGACCTTTGCTGCACTGAACATCTGAGTCTGGCCTCCTGGGAGCTGAGAGTAGCCAAGGAAGGTGGAGCACGGCGAGCCAGGCTTTCCGGCGAGGCCATCCTTTGGCAAGTTGAGACATAACCAACGAAACCCACACATAAATTCACATTGAGTTAGTTTCCTTCAAGCTGCCTCTTTTTTGTTCAGAGTTCTGTCAGTGCTGTGTTTTGTTTCATCAAGGTCCAGTGAAGCCAAGCCTCCTCTGTGATAGCAACTTAAGATACTAAGTTGTAGGCATCAGGAAAAGCCTTTCCAGTGTGGCTTTGCTTGCCCTAAAAATTAGAGTTCGGTAACTCCAGAATTTTCCCTTAACATCTGGGGTGAGTTTTGTTGTAGTTGTTCATGAAGTAGGTTAGAGTAATTATTAGAAATTCAGAATGTTAAATTTTCTTAGCTTTTCTTTCATTTTCAAAAGATATCAACGTATAGGGTGGCTTACATGTGATTTTCATCTCAGGAAAATATTCAGATTTAATTTCATTCTTGTCGTTGTTACATTAAGTCAGATAGTGCTTTCCCAAAGTAATACAATAAAACGGGTGGCCTGCAGCTGTCTGGGTAGAAATTTTGCAGCTGTGTTTCTCTCCTTTCTGACTGAGGTCATTTCAGATGATTTTACTCAAACTGAAGCCATAAGCTGAGTGCTCCTGACTGTCAGGGAGGCCTGGACTTTGCTAAGAAGTTGACAGTGCTATCGGGTATTTGCTGTTGGTAGGAAAATGGCCGGTACTGCTTGTGAGGGACTCTGGGATTCTAATTCCGATTATGAGTGGAGGGGGAAGTCAGGACTCCTGGGTTTCTGCCCAGCAAGAGCCTAAAATTTATTTGCTTCATAGGAGGGGAAGTCTGGAAGGACAGCTAAGTAACTGTATGTGCTTCCCAGCTCTTCCAGACATAGAAAAATGGCTTCAGAGAAATACCAGGTACTTGACCTTTTAGGTCACTGCATTGTCTTAGTGTTGTAGAAATGAAGTCCCATAAAAGGTGGCATTTATTTATTTTTACCTAAGTCCTGTTGGGGATTTTGATGTCAGGAAAACTTTACCTTTCCTGACGCTGGCAGTAGCTTAGGTTGTGCCAGAAAGGGTGTTTCTCTTGGCTAAGGCCTGTGCTGAAATAGAGTGAAGCAGCAGACAGATCATTAGCCTAAAACCGAGCTGCGTGGATGCAAACTTTCAGATTGTCATGGATGACGTGGCCAGTCTAGACACAGGCCTTGGCCTTCTGGGAACTGAGTTATTTGGACAAATAATGTATCCTGACTCAAAGGTAAATTACTTGTTGTCTCCTTCCTCCCTACATTTCAGAGCTGTAAGACGCTGAGGATGAAGGGAAAGCTGAAAATCTGATGTATGTAGGCTGTGTCACTGTGTGAGCAGGCTCTGGAGCTGTCATATTGTTGCCATCAGTGGGCTGTTTGCTTTCTTCAGTTTTAATGACATCTTTAAAATTTTTGTTGTACTTTGTGACTCCCTGTGGTTGGAGCTGGGAATTGCTCCCAGGGCGCTGCGGTGTGGGCTTCTTCCGGGCTCAGTGCACACAGCGTTTCATAGTTGTGGAAAGCACATGACACTTCTTCTCTGCACACCTGAGTCCTAACTTGGAGACTCTAGGACTTGGTCTGGACCGGGAAGGCGCTGTGCTGCCTTCCTCTAAGGGGCGGAGTCAGTGAGAGAGGGCGGGTCTCCTCCCTTCTCGGCTGGGCAGGTAGGTTCCTGCTGGCTGAGCTTTGCTTTGCAGTGCTTACATGCGGAAGACCAGCTCCTCTCAGATCGACCTTGGTGCACCAGAAGCTCAGAACTGAGAGTTAGAAGTAGTGGACGGGAGACCCACCGTCAGCAGTCGTAGAAATGGCTTTATTAACTTGGTCAATGAAGTGGCCTTGGGACTCATTGGGTTTTAGAAGTTACTAAAGGATATTGGTAACATTTATTTATGAATTACTTAATTCTGATAATGGCTTCAGCATTTCTTGGGTACAATAACAGTGGTTTTAAAAACAAATCCAATAACTTTAGTAATTTTCTTTTATTACCATCTCACAGCTTTCCAGTAGCATTTGGCTTGTGTTTAGTGTGTTAATATCAGAATGGGGCACAAGCACAGCTCCCCTGTACCTTCTCACTCAGGGCCTGCATTTAGGCTTCACACTGCCACAGTCACACTGAATGAGAGGTAGATGGAGGCTTGGTTGTCATGGCGGCCATTGTGGTTCCTGCCTTGGCAGCCATGGCAGAGGCCCAGTGGGTTTGGTCCTGGGTGGTGGCTGTTAGTAGCTGTTAGCGTGGCACAGTCACTTGTGGGCATCTCTGCGGGAATTGACTCCCACAACTGCCAGGCTCACGCTTGAAAGAGTTCATCGTCTATGAGATTGTAGTCAAGCCGGCAGGGAGGAGGAGGATGCAGCGGTGGTTTAGAGCTGCTCACTGGCCTTATCAGCTCTGTATAAAGATTTTATGGATTATAAGATTCTTTTTAAAGATCAAAATAAGAAAAAAATGTTAAAATGTTAGTGGCAATGGCATTGAACTAGAGGTAGATTTATTAAAGCAATGTAGGAGATACTAGGAAGAGAATGTATATGTATATTTAATTTTCAGTGATACACATACACTTTCAGGAAGAAAATCTGCTTGAGGAGTTGCAGCAGGAGAATTCTCAATGTAAGATGAAGTTATCGATCGTTTCTTTTGTAAGCTCTGGAAACACTTTGGAGCCGGTTCTGACTGTGAGGGCTGGAAAGAGGGCTCTGCCCGTGGGGCTGCTGGAGCCCTGGCCCTGCCCTTCCTCCTGGGGGATTCGCTCGGTATGGTGCGTGGCGGTGGGGCTGAGGAGGCGGCCCTGTGCGTGCGGCTGAGGAGAGCATTGCTCCCACGTTACGCGCGCAGGTCAGATGGACTGTGGAAGACCTGAGGCCCTGTGTTCCACGTGCGGTTTCTCTTACTCTGGGAAGCTGGAGTCGGCCTGGGTCTTACTGGGTTGACGTGAATGCCCTCAGTTTAGCTCTGTACAGTGTTCTGCTCAAACTTTTGAGTTCAACCCAGTCAGAGGACACTTGAAACCCTAGTCAGAAGTGACAGAATTCTCATCTGGCTCGGACGTCTTTGTGGGAAGGAAGAGAACAGGGCTTGACTGTGTTAGCTCTGTGGCCCTCCTGACTCCCACGTTAGGAAGATGTGTAGCTTTTTACCTCCGTACCTCAGTGTGCTCGTTCTGGGCAGCACACCCGGAGCTCAGGGTCTGACACAGGATCTGTGTTGTTTGTCGTTCTCGTTAGTCCAGGTTTTACTCATGTTCTCTCAGAGGCAGGGTTGCTCTACTCTTTGCCTTCCCGCAGTTCTCTGGGCTCGCTAATGGCACTTATTTTTCAAGGTATGTGTCCCTGATTCTAAAGAAAGTTGTGCTTTCTGCTGTTATTCTTGAGTTGAAGATCTAAGTGCATATTTAAGTTATAGCAAATCTGATATTACACACTAGGAAGAGGGAAATTGAGCATTTCTAGTAATGGACAACAGGCTGGGTCGCTGTTGCAAGTGTGAGTCCGGTGTGTAACTGCTGCAGCTCTGCGGCCGAGCACAGGAAAGGCCCGCGCCTCATGGACGGGTAGGCCCTCCTGCCTCCCAGGTAAAATTCCTTCTCAGAACCTCAGGCTCTGAACAGTTTCTTCCAAGCAGTTCTTTCTAGAGTTCTTCTGTTTCACTGTCCTCATAAGGACTACTTTGTAGCTCGATTCACATATTGAGTGCCCTTGTGGAGTTAGCTGAAGGGGCTGGCTCAGCACAGGATAACTCCCTTGAAAAGCACTTACTTTTGCGCAGTGCATTGAAGCAGGGTGTACTGAGGATTTGGTGTCTCTTCTCACTGTGTGGGGCCTCGTGGAAGGCCCAGACTGCTGGAGGAAACCTCTGGGGTCTGGCTCCTGTCCTTTGCCTGCCAGCATCTGGCGGGTCCCTGCTGCCAGCCGTCTGTGACAATCATTCAGGCTCGCTCACAGACCTCTGCCTGGGCCATGGTCCCAGGAAAGCCCCTCAGCTGAACCTGAGCCACGCTGCTGTGAGTCTCCCCACATCTTCCCACCTCTGGGGTTCAGTTTCCATGGCAGCTGCCCCCAGCATCCCTCACCAGCATTGAGCACGGAGGCGGAGGCAGAGGCGGGGAGAAGAGAGCCAGCAGTGAGGCGTGGCGCCTGTGTGCCTCTCTCCTGGGGTCCCAGGAGGCAGGCGGGTAGGAGTGTCTGGGAAGGAAGGCGCCTTCTCTTTTTCCTAATTGCACTATTCTCGTTCTAGCTTCGGTCTGGAGATAATTTAAGACCTCCATGGGGTCATGATCCGTTGACTTAGCAAGTCTGCCTTATCTGTGGAGCTCGGGGTGAGAAATATGACCGTGTCTGATGTCTGTAGTTCATTTCCTGTAGGCTGTTGCCCCTCCCCCAAGATTGTGTTCACCTGGACCATTTTATTTTTTATTTACCAAAGTACTGTACTTGGCTATTTGCAGTGTTTTTCAAAACCAAATGTTTCCTTTTGTGTTTTTAATCTTCAATACTTGGTGCAATAGAAGCTGCAAAGATGTGCCACTTTATCTATAAAACGGAGTTTTGTATACCAATAAATTCTAGTTTAAAACAAAGTCTCAAGCCATGTGTATGTTTTCTTTTGTATGGTGTTGGGGATTGAACCCAGGGCTTTGTGTGTTCAAGGCTAGCAATCTGAGCCATGTCTCAAGCTCAAGCTGTTCATCAGTATCTGAACAACATTTGGGTGCGTGAGAGGGACAGGACCCAGACAGCATGCTGGGGAATGTCCTTTGTAGGGGTCTTTGCCCGCAGATGTGTGTGCTGGCGGGGGTTGGTGATCCCTTGGGATCTCGCATTGCTGGTGCTCCAGTACAGCTGAGTGTGACAAGCCCCGTGGACAGAGCCCCCAAGCCCTGAGCACCTGCCCGTCCCCTCAGAACAGCTCTGATATTCTGCAGTTGTCTCTGTACTGAGCAATGTCTGTCACCTGTCACTTTGGGATTCCTTTAGGACCTGAGGGTTCATTCCATCCCATTCTGAGACAAGGCTTGTGTCCAAGGACACACATGGACAGTAGTGATAGACACAGATTCCCCTGGAGGTGGTCCACAGAGGGACAGTGGTGGCTATAGAACCAGAGGGAGGGCAGCCCCAGGACTTGCAGCAGGGCCATTCCACACCAGGGCTCTAGCTAATCCAGAAGTGGCTGAAGGTGGCTCCCTAGCCTCGCTGTCCTTGGGACTTTGACCTTGACTCCTACTGTTACCTGGTCTTAATTTTGTATTCAACATTCAGCTTTCTGAGTTGGCTTTCTTCATAGCAGAAGAGCCAGAAAGTATTCTTACGACTGGCAGAGAAATTCTCTCATGGTCACTTAAACCTTCCCAGTGTTATTTTAATCTCAATCCATGCCTGAGAGACTGGACGTCTCAGGTGGACACATACTATTCAGCTCCCAAGGCAGGAAGGACCTTGCAAAGGCCCAGGGTGTGTTGCAGCTTAGGAGCTGCCCCGATTGCAAAACCTCAGTAGCCCCCTCAGTTCTGCTCCATGGACTCAGCTGGAGCCAGGCCCCCTTTCCTATGGGACAGGCCTCCTGTCCTGGAGGCTTCTTGTCTGGGCCAGGGGACCTGCTAGGCCTTTCTAGCTGGGAGGCTGAGTGAGTAAGGACAGGTGGGGACCAGTGGCCCTGCCCTTGCTCACGGCCCCTTCTTAGTGACTGTTCGTGGTTACACATCAGGGTTCTTGAGTTGCCTACCAGCCGGGAGCACCAGGAGCACCTGGTCTTACTACTGTACTTTCGCTTCCCCTCAGTGTGCCCGCACAGTATAATTCACAAAGTACCCTGTGTCAGTGTGGCTCTAACTGGACTGCTGGAGAAAAGGGTTTCTTATACCATGCAGAGAGATGTACAGCTTTGTGGTTGGCAGGATCAAGACCAGTGCTGCTGCCTCCTGATACATTCTAGCTTGGTAGAAGAGCACATTTCCACCATCCTGGATAAACTTGTGGGAACTTTCCCTGTGATTTATTACTTGGGTACTCTGGTTTTTTTTCAATTTATTCACCATCCAAGCATCCAAGAATTGATCCAATATTTAGATTAGCGCCTCTGCTGTGTCTGGCTCTTTATTTCTGGGCGTTGATACTGACATGGACCCTGGTCTCAAAAAGCTTCCCAGACTGGGCGTGGTGGCGCACACCTGTAATCCCAACACTTAGGAGGCTGAGGCAGAAGAGTCACCAGGCTGGTTTCCATAGTGAGTTCAAGACCAGCCTGAATTATGTAGAAAGACCATGACTCAAAAAGCAAAAGCTTCCAGGCCAGGGACAAAAGTGGACATGTAGTTGTGACCCAAGAGAACATAGGCCTTAAGGGAAGTCTGTTAAGATAGCAGAGAAATAAAAAAGATTGGTGGAGGAGGCGACATTTGGACTGGGCTTAGGTGGGGGGATAGGACACAGGAATAGGGAGCAAGGGACTTTATCCCAAAAGGACCAGCATAGCAAAACCTTGCAGTGGGCGGTTCCATGTGTCTAGACGTAGAGTGTATTTAAGGATACACAGTTTGGAGAAAGACTGGGAACTTAATTCTTTAAACACTTCTTATTTGCCTGTTGCCACTGAAAGAGTGCCGCTGTACCCGCTGAGTGCATTCTAAAAATCAGGTATCCGTGGTCCAGCCTGCTGACTTTTCAGCATGTGGCATTGGCTTGACCGTGCTATTTGGACCTGAGGACGTTACCAGCCGCTTTCAGTGGTGTGACTCTGGGAACCGTCAGTTTAAGGCTACCAAAGATAAACAGTGGTTTTCAAATGTGTGTTCATTGACAATAAATGAACTTCTGATGATAGTACCCCAGAGGCTATTGGAATGAATTAGTGTAGTATTTATCTATAGTGCCACCTCAGAATAATCCCAGTTTTTATGTGCTGATCGATTCAACTGAGCAGGGCTGGCCAAATAACTCAGCGGATTAAAGCGCCTGCAAGCAGGCGTAGGGGCTGGGAGTACCCTGGCCTGCTAGCCAGACCTTGCCCCCTGGGGCGCACTGAGACATTGAGACTGGGCATGGTGGTGTGCACCTGAAATCCCAGCTCTTGGGAGGCTGTAAACAGGAGAAGCATTACCTGATCTAGTAGTGAGACCTTGAACACCTTGTAGACCCTTCCCTAAAAAAAAAACAAAAACAACAAAACCCCCCCCAAAACTAAAAAGAAACAAACCAAAAAGAACTGAGCAGATACTTATTTTGCATCAGTGCAATTAATGCAATGAAGGAGGCAACAGTTAGGGAGGGTGACAGAACATAGATGGGTGTCTCTAATGTCCCAGGTACCTAGAATACATTGTCTTAATGTTAAAACAGCTAATGAGGCTCAGGGGTCTAGCTCCATTTTATTCACAAAACTAACAGGTCTGAGCTCACAGATTGATAACAGAGGCAGGGTTTGAACCCAAGGCCACCTGACTACACTGTAGAGAACCCGAGTAACTGGGTAACCAGTGCTAGCAAAGCTCTAAACACTTTGCCAGGCAGTTGAGGAGCTTGTACTCTCTAGCTGGAAAAGGCAGAATTAGTAAAGTGCTTGAGAGGAGCAGCTGTACAAATAAAGAATAAAGGCACCGGAGCAGGGGGCATATGCTGGAGCGGTGGGATTACAGACAGACAGATGGTGCCTAACCGTGGTGCTGGGGAAGCGGGGGGGTTGCTGCTGGACAGTGACGAGCGGCTGATGTTTGGGGAGGGGGCAGAGGAGCGACACAACAGAAAGCAACCATCAGTGGTCAGGGTGGAGAGGAGATGGAGGCTGGAGGCCGGAGAAGGTGCTGGTCCTCTCATTAGTTTTGTTCTGGAACATACTAGTGTAGAATATTCATTGTCTGCCAGTAGAACGTATCTAAATTTTCTGCATCTCTAGTATGCATCAAAAAAGTTGAGAAGCATCATTTGTAAACGGCTTACCAAAAGAAAGGAACTTAAATGCATTCAGTTCTCCAGGGATGACCTTGCGAAGAACCCAAAGAAGCAGACAGGTGTCTGTGAAATCATGGGTCTTTGGTTTGCTCAGGAATTCCACTGTGCTTTGCCATCACGGATTCACCAAGTTAGTGGATCGCACTTCATGCATAGCTTTAGGTCGGGCCAAAATAGAAGCAACGGCGAAACCAATACAAATCTTGTCATCAGAACTGGAGAGGAAGCTATGAAACATTCAAGTGATAATGTCCCCTCCTCAGCATTGATACAGTCCTTTGGTTCATCCTTCCTCTTTTCCCTCCTTCTCTTCTACCTGTCCATCTACCCACCCACCCATCCATCCAGTGAATGTATATAAAGCCCCTAGAACAGTGCCCGAAAAATAGCAGTTGCCTAATAAGTGTTACCTACTATTGTTACGCTGTTTCATTCATTAATTCACCCATCCATCCATCCATCCATCCATCCATCCATCCATCCATCCATCCATCCGTCATCCAGTGAATGTATATAAAGCCCCTAGAACAGTGCCTGAAAAATATCAGTTGCTTAATAAATGTTACCTACTATTGTTATGGTTTCATTCATTAATTCACCCATCCATCCATCCATCCATCCATCCATCCATCCATCCATCCATCCATCATCCAGTGAATGTATATAAAGCCCCTAAGAACAGTGCCTGAAAAATATCAGTTGCTTAATAAATGTTACCTACTATTGTTATGATGTTTCATTCATTAATTCACCCACCCATCCATCCATCCACCCATCTATCCATCCATCCATCCATCCATCCATCCATCCATCCATCCATCCATCCACAGGACACAAATGTGCCAGTGATTCATGTGCTAGACTTATGACCACACTTTTATATATGTACTGACATTTAAATCTTGCCACAGCCAAATTGCCAGAGAAATGTCATCATTCCGCTTTACAGATGTGGAGATGAAGGCTGCGGCCATCGATCGACACCTCTCAGATTTTCATGTGTATATGCAGAAGTCTTTCTAATCCTGATTCTGATTCAGCAGGTCTGGGGGCAGGTCCAACTTTCTGCCTTCCTAATAAGGTGCCGCTGCTGTTCTCCGGGGCCCTCACTGAGTGGTGAGGTCTGCAGCGCAGTGGGGCGACAGAGGTCTTCCTGGAGCTTCTAACTTCAGCTTCAGGGGTTCCTTCCTTCCCTTTTTAGTCCTTTTCACAAGTCTGCATCTGGACATTAGCGGTGTGTGCCTGGATACACACATGTGTAGATGGAATTTAGACAGACTACTTGATTCATTCATTGTCATTTATTGAGCCCTGGGACAACAAAGGATAAGACAGGACTGTGGCCAAGCAGCCCACAGCGTGCTTGGGGAGAAAGCGAGACACAACAGGTCGCAGTGGGGTCTTGTTCCTGACTTGAGCTTTTCGTTGTTGGACAGTTCCACAACTCCCTTCGTACCGGAAAACCACCATGCCCAGAAATAACGTCCCCATCCCACCCTCAGCTCCTTTTCCCTGAGTTTCCTATTTTTGTCCAGGAAACCAGCATCCCACGGTGGTTTCAAGGTATCCTTTTGGCGATCTCTCAGCATCTTTATTATTGAAAACGCAAACCCAGAAGTGTCACTAACCACAAGCACACTGTCCGTGTTGTTAGGTTTCTGCGTAATACAGGTTGGACACCAGAGGGCGCCCCAGCACCATTTTTTTTTTTTACCCCCTTGACAAGGGTGATCGTGCCCATCCTTCTTGCAAGCTATTTTGCTCCAAGACCCCGCCTTCCTCGGATTGAAGTCACAACAGCAAAAGCACACACACATGTCCATTCCCATCTTCACTTTTTTTTTTTTTCTTGAACCGGGGATCGAACTCAGGCCCTTGAGCTTGCCAGTCAAGCGCTTATTCTACTGAATCATCTCCCCGCCCCCGCCTTCACTTGTTAGCACAGAGCATCGTTGCCTTTTGAGGTTGGTGACAAAGCGTCCCTTTGACTTCGAGGTCCTGAGAAACACGAGGAGAGTCCCTGAGTTCTGTGAGCTTTGCCCTGTGTAGTTCATTTGAACATCCTTTGTTTCATTAAATAACTTCATCCGGATCCTGTAGGACGCGACCGGCGCTCGTAGCTGGTGCAGACGCTGTGCCCCGGAGTTAGGAGGGAAAGCTTGGCTTGCAGGGCAGGCTGTGTGCGTCCTGGTGGGACGCCTTCAGGGAGCCGGTGATGTGGGACTCTTTCCTCCTCACTGTCAGGGGTCTGACCCAGCTGCACCTGCTCACAGCTGCCCTGTCCTGGACACCTGCTCTCTTCACGGTGACGACTGTACAGTGTTGCTGGTTGATGCCACTTTTTTTTTTTTTTTTTAAAGAAATGAAGGACCTGGGATGAAGAGACCCCCCTCTATAGAACGTCCCCTCTGCGACCCCCAGATGTCTGTCATTAACAAAGAGGTTTAGATAAGATGGATCTAGTGCTACTTTCTCTTCTACAGAAGTTGGGTTTTTTTTTTTTTTGGTTTGTTTTTTGTTTTTTTTGCCGGGCTGAGTGTTCTGAGGCCTAATGACAGTGGGGACAATATTTTTAGGTTGGTATTTTTCATGCTTTTCACATTAAACCATATGGCCAGAAATATTCCTCCCAGAAATTGCCATGATTATCTTGGATAAAACTGTGTAGAAGCTTAGAGAAAAGGTGTCACAGAAACCTATAGTTGTGGAAAAGTAAAAGGACTTAATGTTTGCATTGCAGGCAGGGGCCATAGTGGCAGATTCATTCCCACTGTGGTCCAGTGTCTAGTGTGGAGCTGGATCAAGGTAGGTGCTCCAAATACAATGAATGAATGAATGAATGAATGAATGAATGAATGAAACGATAGGCACTAAATCCTGGGGTGTCAGGGACTAAGAATCAAGGAATATTAGGGAAATTATAGGGCATTGTTATTCACTTATTCAGAAGATGGAACCAAGATCCTAGGGGTGAGTTAGTGAGTTTTGTGGGTACCAGAAGATCTTGAGGCTCCCCGGGCACCTCCTGGGAAGAAAGGGTGGCCCAGGAAGCCACAGCCTGGGAACTCTGCAGGAGAGAGGATTATAGGAAGGGAATTCTCCAGAGGGACAGCTTTGGTTCTAAGCTTCTCCTGGCCCAGGACTACAGCAGCCTGAGACTGGGCGGAGGAGAGGGACAGGGTGGGGTGGGCCCTGTGCACAGCTTGTTGGGGTAATTGACGTATTTGCGGTCGAAGGTGTCCAGGTTGCGGCGAAAGCAGAGTGCAGCCTTCTTGTCACACTCGCAGGTCTGCCTCTGGCAGGTGGTCCTGCCGGCTGGATGGGACAAGGTGAGTTAGGGATTACGGACAGAGGACCAGGCCGCCTGCTCTCAGACACAGATGGGGCAGCTCCTGGGTGTTTAGGGATCCTGCTCTTGACCCCATCATTCACCCCCTACTGATGGGAGCCCTTTCTCTTGGGGAGGCATGTCAGAGGTGGGTGAGAGGCAAGGGCAGGGCATGGGAGGGCCTGAGGGGCCCAGGACACTGAGATGGCCAGACGTTTGCGCTTGTGTCCCTCTTTCCTCCCCCTAGTGCTCTTGATGGCCTGTGTTCTCTCATGGAGATTACTCATTGTCCCCTGTCCCAGCCCGGGGGTGGGGGGATTCTAGGCCACCCCTGTACCTGTGATGGTGCTCAGCCATAAGCAGAGGGAAGCTAAGAAATGTAGCAGTCATCCCCAGATAGCTTGTGAGAGGCCTCGAGTGGCCTGTGTCCAGGTTGGGGCTGTTGGACTAAGCTAAGGCCTGCTTGGGGGCCTTTGCCTGTTCCCCCAGAGTGGACAGAGCCTATTTTTATGCCGATTCCCAGCCTGAGAATCAGACTTTCCCACTCCCCCCCACCACATCCCCTAGCCTGCTGGCATCAGTGCTGCAGGTGCCAGGCTCCTGAAGGCCTGCTCTTTTCTCTGCTGCCCTTCCTCTCTCTGTCCAGAGTGATTCTGGCTGCCTTTTGTCCCACAAAGACTTCACCCTGTCCAGAGAGGTCCTTGTACCTCACTTCCCACTTAAAGTGGAGCTGGTTCCAATGGGATTCTGCCCAGTCCTGCTATGTGGGCAGGATTCAGAGTGGAAGGGTTTAGTGGCCTCATCAGGAGCTGGACTGAGCTGAGGAAATGGGCACAATGACCTCCATCCCATATCTGAGGAAGTAGACACTTCCTAGGGGCTGCCCCCTGTCCAAAGTCTCATGGTGGGCAGAAGTGAAGCCCTGAGAAGGACCCAGACCCTGTGTCCCACCTACCGGACACCTCCCTCCACTCACTCTCTCAGCACCATTTTAACAGCTGATTGTTCCAAGCTTGCAGGAACCCCCAGTGACGGGGAGCTCACTACCTGACAAAGCTGCCCTGCTAAGTGGACCACTGCAGAAACAAGAAGCTCTGAGTCAGCTCTGCTTCAGTCTGACGTCCCAGGTCCTGCTCTGTACCCTGTACCTGCTGGGCTCTGCCCTCCCTCCAGGCCACACTTGACTTTACGGCAGGCAGAAGGCTTGGTCCTTTGATGTGTGTACCCTCCACACTCTCGTGGTATAGACTGTGTCCCCAGTCAGGGGCCAGGGGGAAACAAATTGGTCCAAGTGGGCTTTGGGTATGGCAGAGTGGAGGAAAATGGGCCCAGTTGGATGGCCCTCATAGGGAAATCAGCCCTTGGGAACAGTTCCACATTTACGACGTTCCAGTTGGTGCCATCCTAGGGATGGGTGTGAGTCCAGCTGCTGTGGATGTGGCTCAGCTGGGCCCTCACTGTGTCCTGCCTGGAGTGGAGCTGGGAGGTGGCTCTGGGTGGGGGCCATGGTATGGGCCACGGGGCGCCCTAGCACCAGTGCCCAGTGGGCATCTGGACAGATGGGTAGGCTGCTCTACTCTTATTTTTTCTGGACTGGACATTAAACCTAGGGCCTCCCGCATGCAAGGCAAGAACTCTTCCACTGAGCCACATCCTGAGCCCGAGGCCTCTCTGCTCTTATGTGATGATGGGAAGGTTATCTTCAGCCTAGACTCTGTCCCTCACGAGGTGAAAGGTCACTACCAGGAGGGGCTTTCTCTCCCATGCTGCCACCCACCCCGCCCAGCGTCTGCCTCACTCTAGGGCTCATTTCTTACCACAGATGATATAATCGTGGCTGGCAGAGAAGAGATACTTCTCCATTTTGGGTTCGCAGCCCAGCTTCTTCACGTGCCCGTAGCAGCAGTCATGGGCCTGGCAGCACCTGTGGAGTGACGATCAACCGGAAGGGGCCTGGGAGCCAGGCGGGGCCATACAGGAGCCCCTGGGCTCTGCGCCCTGGCCTTAAAGGAGGGGGCCATCTCTTTGTCTAGCTGCCTTCAGGTCCTCCCTCCTCCTGGGAGGCTCCTTCCCTTCCTCAGCCCAGGGGTCCCCTGCTGGCCACTTCCTTACCAATCGGTCGGGTCCACAGGCCAGTTGGAGCCACCAAGGCCACAGTAGCAGCCATAGTCGTTGTACTGAAGTGCTGGCTTCCCTGTCATCTTTTCGATCATCATCCCAAACTGGACCAGGTTCCCGCTGGCCAGAGCCACTGTTGAGGGGGGAGTGGGGAGGACGGCGGTCTGAGGTCTCCTCAGATCTAATCACCTGTCTACTCACTCTCCCCTCCACAAAGCACCAGCTACCAATAACAGTGACAGTAAGTAATACCTCAGACGACATCCTCTGCACCTGAGTCCCTTGGTCCCCACCCCGTCATGTCCATGTCACTTGCGCATGTGTCCCCCACTGTCTCCCCGAGTATCACTCACTCATCCCTCTGGGGCCTTCTTATTGGCTGTTCAAATCTGTCCCAAACAATCACTACTTTCTACCAGCTGTCAGCCCCCATCTCCCCCAGAAGCACTCTGTCCCCCCAGATCTCACCAGACACCACTGTACCTATTCCCTAAATACCTTCAAGGATCTGTCTGAATCCCTCAGGGTCATCCTGCTTGTCTTGGGGAGGGAGGAAAGTCCACCGAGCCAGGCTGGAGCCAGAAATGGAAGCCAGGAGCCAGGAGGAACCCTGCATGTATGGCTGGGGTCCCTCCAGTCCCTGTCCTGTGTCCCCCTCCCCCTCTCAGCCTGCATTTGCCTCCTCTCCCTCCCCTCTCCTCTTGCCACTGCCAGTTTAGGCCAAGGTGGCCTCAGGATTACCCTGGTTGGTGGCATGAAAAAGCATGCGACTTTGGCATTCTGTACCCGTGACACCCTCTATAAAGCCAGGCTCAGGGGCATCCAGGGTGTTTGGGGTTGCCTGAGGGGTGGGGACAGGGGAGGACCCAGATTTTCACTTACCCAGGATGCAAAGGAAGGTCAGGACAGGAGGAGGTCTCATCCTGAGGGGGGAGGTAAGCTGGGGGCAGATGAACCTGCAGCAGGAAGGAAGGGCGCAGGGTCACCTCTGAGCTCAGAGCGCCTCCCAATTAGCTAAATACCCTCGTCCTGTCCACTCCCCATCATTAACCCTTGAGTGCCCAGTGATGCAACGATTCTTCCCTAGGCCTGACACTCTGGTCAAGTCCCCAGGGGAGGGGCCAAGCTGGGGCCCGTGTGCCCCGCTTCTAGGCAGCATGGAAGTCAGGGTGGGGGCCGTCCTATGGGGCTCTTCCTTCTCAGGCCTTTCCTATGACCTTCCGGTTTTAGAGTCACTGTCCTGGCTCCCATAGACTGCACTGGAGCTAGTGGCTGTGCTGCGCTTTTCAGTCTTGGTTATCTCTTCCTCAGTCCTATTTTACTAATTCAGCAACCGAGATCCAGAGAGGCGGGGGAGGCATCCGTCCTCCCAGCCTGGGACGGCCCCATACCAAACCTGTCATTTTCCATATTCCACTGGGCAGAACCAGAGACAAGCTGTCCTCCACTGCCTTCCCTGCTCCCAGCCTGCAACTGGGATAACTTGACCATCCACTTCTGTCATGTTCAGGGTTTGGGAGCTGCTGAGTTTGCGGCCAATCCTAGTTCCTGTGTTTATTACGTGGCCTTGGGCAGGTCCTTTCCTTGCTTAGAATCTCAGTTTTCCTATCTGTGTTATGTGAGTGGGAGGCCTCCCTCTAGCATTAAGCAGCTGTCCTCCTCTGAGCATGCGTCGGGACGGTGCCAACCCTCTCTCCCAGGATCACAGGGTGCCCTCAGCAGCCCTCCTGTTCTCCAAGGAGGAAATTGGAACATTTGCCTAAATAAATAGTGAGCCACTGTTTTGGTTTGGGCATCCCAAAGGATTCTCCACTAGGTAAAGAAGGCCAAGCCTAGCACCCATGAACCTTTGCGGTACCCTCCAAAATCTTCTAATTTCTTACAAAATCACAAGAACAATGAGTATAATCCAGCCTAGATTATATTTGTCTTTACATTATAACAGTTGTAAAATTTAAGCTTTAGTATGTTTTCTTCCCCCCTAAAGCTGGAGGAGGGGAGGCCCATGCAGAAGCATCCAAGGCCCACAATAGAGGTCACACTGAGTCACTGAGAGGAACCTGGTTTCTGTCCCTGATTTGGGGCCTGGTTTAGCCTTCTTTCTGAGAGTGGAGACCCAGGAGCTGCCAGTGGCTGGGATTTCCAGGAAGGAATCTGGATGTGAGGTGCACTGGCGGGAGGCTGGAGCTCCTAGATAGGTCCCGCCTTGCAGTCCAGAAGGGAGGCCTGAGCCACATGGATGAGATTGTGGGGGTCTCCATCTGGGCTTAAAGCTCAGTAACAGGTGGTGCACAATTCCTCAGCCTGCCTCCTGCCCCATCTGTTCACGTCTGCTAATGACTCCCCTAGGCCTTTCCTGGCTGTGTTCTTGCCCTACTGTAGAGAAGACCAGGGGCAGGGACCAGAGAGGGGCATCCACCCAGCCTGAAACACCCAGCAGCCGTGAGTCATGGTCTCCTGGGAGTGGGAGCCGCTCTTTGCTCACCATTTCCTTTTGATTTTAATGAGGGCAGCTCCTGGCAGCCCCTGGCTCCTGGCCTGGGTCACCAGAGCCCAAACAGTGAGTCACTGAGGATCTGCCTCCTAAACACTTGAAAATTAGCTTTGGTTCCTGGGGAGGCTTGGATCATAGCTTTTCCTGCCAAAGCAGCAGGGCTGCTCCCCAGGGAGAGCCAGGTATCAGAGATAATCACCTTTGTGACCCATTTTTAAGGATGGAGCCTGGTAAGCTCCTGCAGATCTGGCCCCCTGGCAGAAAAGGCAAAGATGTTGGCTGGAGCCTGTCAGGGATAACACAGCAACTGCAGGGCTGTCATGCTGCTGTGTTGGTAGAACCTGGGCTAGGAGGGGAGCTTTAGGCATCTGGGAAAGGTCGTGGGCATGACGGCTTTCACACCATCAGGGCAGGGTGACAGAAAGCATCAGCTAGCACAGGCCTTGTGCATTAACCCCTCCACCTAGTGGTCATGTGACCATGACCCATCCCATCACCTTCCTAAGCCCAGCTCCATCATTCGGAAACTGACCATTCAGGGTGATAGACCAGACAGACAGAAAATGAGAGGTACAAAGTGCCTGGCAGGAGGCTTGCCCACAGCAGGAACCTGTGAATACAGTGTTCCTCCTTCCTTTCACCCTTACCAGGCCACAGAAAAGACCTCTGGAGGTGCTTAGGGGAGATGGGTGGGAGTGCAGGCATGATGGGTAGAAGTCATGGGGGGTGCTAGATGGAGCAGCTGGCATGGACGTTGGGGTGGAGACCAGGCGAGAGATGAGTGGATGGAGCAGAGTCAAGCTTCTCAGCACTTTTTTTTTTATATTAATATGTCTCTTTTAGCTTAGTCATCTGACATCATTATCATCCTAATAATAAAAATGGCAAAAACAAATGACTACCATTTACTAATGGGACGCACCTCTCTTTCACTAAGTTCCTGCCACGTTGTGGCCACTGAGCCAAGGCTCCTAATCTTACTGCTTCTGTTGCAGTTACAGCTTTCTGTTGCTTTCCTCAGGACTTTAAGGATCCTATACACTGTAAATCCTGGAAGAATTAATTGCCCATTTGGTCAGTAAATGATCTGAGGACCTACTATGTGTTGGGGAAAATGCAGAGCAAAACCAGGGGTGGTTCCCTATTGGTTGAAGTCAATGAAGATTCTGCAGGTAAAGGGGCTCTCTGCCATGGTTAGATCAAGACTCTGGCTCTGATTCCTTTGCAGGTCTCTCCATCTTTCTTCTTCCCAGGGTCACCTTTGTTCAATGAGAGTTGACTGATCTCACTGTTGGAAGACGGCTGCGTGCACCAGTGGGGTCTTCTGCTTCCTCATTTCCACAGGGGAAAGCAGGATGTGAAATTTCCAAGTTATCATACAGATTTTCAGTTCTATTCTACAGGATCAGGCTGGCCTGATCTTCATTGCAAAGAGGAGAAGATGGAAGCTGATTGTCTTATCCTTTGAGGCCCACCCTTGAACCTTGAACCACTCAGCTGCACAATGGCTATGCAACATGGAAGAGGTGGCTTCTCAAATTAAAATCCAGGTTCTGTTAATCCAGGGATTAAGAGGGTGAAAAGATGCTGTAGAAAGGACCAGAGTGTGTCCCTCTCACTTCTGTGTTTGCAGAAACAGGAACATTTCTAGAACCATCTTTAGAAAAATCCAGAATAACTATTACATTGGAGGTGGATGAGGAGAATGCTCACTTTTGTAATACTGGGGAGAAAAACTAAATCCAAACCAATTCAGTAAAAGTGTCCTGCTGAGATTACACTACTCCCAGAGAAAAATCCGGAAGAGTCTCTACTAGGTTTGGGCACTGCTAGGGATATTTTCCATAAACTCTAGATTCTTAATCCAGAAATACAAGTTTTGCCATCATAAATTGTTGAAAGATATCTAAATGACATTCAGAAAGGCAGCATAATAATGGCCCATGGTGCCACTCTGCCAGCCAGAATACACAGCAAATGGCTGAGTGTCCTTACACAAAAAGAAATGACAAATTGGAAGAAAACTCAGCAAGATAAGATACACGGGGCTGGCCAGATAGCTCAGTGGATTAAAGCCCCTACTTAGGCAGATGCAGGGGCTAGGGGTTCAATCCCCAGCCTGCTGTGTCGGCCCTGCCCCTGGGGCACACTGAGATGGTGATTGAAACTGGGTGTGGTGACACGCACCTGTAATCCTAGCACTTGGGAAGCTGTAAACAGGAGGATCACTACTAGTCTGATCTAAGTAGTGAGATCCCGTAGACCCTGAACTAAACACACATATACGCACGCGCGCGCGCGCACACACACACACACACGATAAGATACACAAAACAAAGAACTCAAAACCAAAGTAAACCAGCGTAGGTGCTCCCAGAAAATCTTACAACACAAATAGAAAAGCTGTCAGAAGTCAGAGAGAAACTTCCAGGACTGTTGCAAGTTCGCCCTTGAGTTGCCTGGAGATGCTCAAAACAGGTGCAAATTACTGGTTATCAAGTCTTGACACAGTGAGAAAAGAATTCTGCACACCCCACCTGACAAACATTTATGTTTCCAACATCGTGTTGATTGAGAAGATGAAGCAATTCTGTGCTGATTTCAGTGGGCACTGATAAGCTTTGATAGCAGAGATGCAGAATACCTGAGAGGCACAGAGGAGGGGACAATTACTTCCTCCTGGAAAGCCTTCAGATAGAGCTGTGGAGAGGCCCTGCCACCAGAGCTGGAGCCTTGGAGGACGCAGTTGCTGATCAGCAGGGAGGTACAGCCGGAACCATAGCTAGCCATGTCCAGGCCTCTGAACGTCCTTGTTTTTCCTCTGTACAACATCCTTTTTTTTTTTCCTTTGATTTCACCATCCTAGCCTTTCTTGGGAAAAAAAACCTCTCTCTTTCTCTACAAACAGCTCCAATCACAATGAAACCACACCCTAAAGGGGGACACATGATCCAAGCCAGCCAATCAGACTCTCCCCTGACACTTGGTGTCTTCAGCAGAGTTTGTATTAGCTCAATGCAGTGCCGGGGAGATGGCTCAGTGCAATAAGCACTTCCCTGGCAAGCTGCAAGGGCCTGAGTTCAATCCCAGTTTCCAAAGAAAAAGAAGAGGCAGCTGGGGCAGAACTCTCCTGTCTTTGGCATGCTAAAGAAGCTGTCTGAAGTGCTGCTTCCAAGACTCCCTGAGTCTTGTCATTCCCAAGGTGTGGTTCAGGTCCTCCTTTATTTCACAAACCATTCAGCTTTCTTTCACCATTTTTTTTTTTTTTTGTTAGTTTCACTAGCCAAAATAAATTGCTGTAGGGTTAGCCTGTAGTCTTATCACTCTGGTAAGTGTAGACAGGAGGGTTGCAAGTTTGAGGCCAGCCTGGACAGCGTAGCGGTACCCTGCCTCCAAAAGGCTGTGGATGTATCTCAGTGCAAACCTCT